CTAAAGTTACACTTTATCATTTTATTCAGATTATTTTAAATATGAAAATACAATTAGCCTTTATACATAATAATAAAGCAGGCGGCGAAGCCGCCCGCATTCGCAATCTCTAGTTTAATATAAGAATATACTGTATGATGTTTTTAGAGGCTTAGACAATGATAATAAATTTTAATTGACTTTTTTTTTTATTTAATCTTTATTTTTATGTCTTTTCTAGTGTTTTTAATCATTTAAAATGATTGTTTAGATATACTTGTACTGTACATTAAAATATATACCTACAAAATAATATGCATTATTCTCAAAATTCATGTGCATGCCATGCCATCACTAGTCTAATAATAATAGACAGGTTTGAATATTTGTTTAGAGTTAGAGATGCGACCCGGATATCCTCTAATTTAATTTTATAACAAAATTATTGTAAAGAATCCAGATGTCTGGATATCCGTTAAATTTTAAATAGAAAATGGATAATGGATCACATCTTTAGTTTAGAGGTACTTTAGCTTTTATGTAATAAACGAGTAATAAACTAATAATTTAAATGGAGTTTATAATAAAAAACAAATAATACAGTACATAATATTTTATAATTTATATTTAATTCAGTAATTAGTTTAACAATCTGTACAGTCTAATACCTAGTTGACCAAAATTTCTATTATGTATTTCCGGGTCATGGCTTTATAAAAATTAAATTTCAATTTTATAATCTAAAAAATTTTTAAATTTTTTAAATAAAAGTCGGGGCGGGTGGTCATTTTTTTTATTTTATGCTATGAGAACAAAAAATTAACTTTATATGGCCTTATATAGAATATATAAAAAATTAATACTTAATTACTTATGAAATATATAAAAATTTATACTCAATTAAAATTATGGAGTTGTTATTGCCACCTCCCAATTTGTTAGTGCCACCCCACGTGATATATAGACTATGTGTTGCAAAAAATAAAAATTTTAAAAACTTTGAGCGAAGATATATCGACAACTACCCGCTTGAATCTGGCAAAACCTTTGAGATTTGAATTCTATGGATTCATAGAATTCAAATAAAAAAATTCTATTGAATTTAGCCATGTGGTTGTCGAGATAACTTCGCTCAAAATTAGAAACAATCAAAACGCCTATCAAAATAGAAGCTGCGCCAAATTTCTCTCTAACTTTGAGCGACGATATCTCGATAACTATCTGACCAAATCTGATAAAACTTTTTTATTTAAATCCTATAGATTCATAGAATTCAAATAAAAAGTTTCATTGAATTTAGGCAAGTGGTTATCGAGGTATCTTCGCTCACAATTAGAGAAAAATAAAACACCTATCAAAATATAAATTTTCTCTCTAACTTTGACGAAGATATCTCGATATTAGTCTGTCCAAATTCAATAAAAATTTTTTATTTCAATTCTATGCATTCACAAAATTTAAATAAAAAATTTCATTGTATTTAGTCAAGTGGATGTTGAGATATCTTCGCTCAAAGTTAGAAAGAAAATTTGTCTTAGGTTCTATTTTGATACGCATTTTGATTTTTCTTTGAGCAAAAATATCTTGATTAAATACGATGAAATTTTTTTATTTGAATTCCATGAATCCATAGAATTTAAATAAAAAGTTTTATCGAATTTGGTTAGATAGTTAACGAAATACCTTTGCTCAAAGTTAGAAAGAAAATTTGGCATAGCTTCTATTTTGATAAACAGTTTGATTTTCTTTAATTTTGAGCAAAGATATCTCTGTAACCCTTGACTAAATTCAATAATGACTTTTTTATTTGAATTTTATATACTGTAGAATTCTAAAAAAGTTTTATCGAATTTGGTCAGGTAGTTATCGAGATATCTTCGCTCAAAGGTAGAGAAAAATTTGCGCAATTCCTGCTTTATAGGCGTTTTGATTTTCCTCTAATTTTGAGTGAAGATATCTCAACAACCACATGGATAAATTCGATGAATCTTTTTTTATTTGAATTCTATGAATCCATAGGATTCAAATCTAAAAGGTTTCATCAGGTTCAAGTGGGTATATCTTCGCTCAAAGTTTTTAAATTTTTTATTTTTGTGGGGGTGGCACTAACAAATTGGGAGGTGGCAATAACAACTCCCTATTTATAATATTATTTTACTAAATTAAGCTAAATTTCTATTTCTATGCATATACAGTAAAAATAAAGTGAATACGTAAGAAGTTTTTTTTTTCTATGTTTATAAAAGATAAAGAACTTTGTAATTAAATATTGATTTACTAATAAACTTGTTATATATACATAAAAATTTTACTATGCATCTTATCATAAACTCAATTAATATTTATTTATTTCTTGGTTACTGTTTTTTTTTATTTGTTTATTTCAACAACATTTATGAGATCGTTACCATGTTGATGATTCTTAAACAAAAATCTCTGATAGACTATATAAAAATTAACATATCTATTACTGCGAAGAAATTAATACTAAAATCACTAATGAATTCACTGAATATTTATTTATTGCTGTTTGCAAAATTATGTGAAATTTGCAGATAAAAAAATGATTTCTTATTCTGATTGCCGATTTCTTTACCATTTTTTTGCAGAAATAAAAGTTGTAGATTCATAATTTTGTAACATATTTTGATTAGCATCTTTAGTAGGAATATAATTTGCATATTCATTTCATCATGTTGTAAAGAACTTGATTGTGTAAAACTAAAATTTGTTTCTTTTCTAGCCTGATAAAATTTACTATTGCATGATAAGCAAGAAAATTTAAAAATTGCACCAAATTCAATCTTATAAGAATTATTACATGATTCTAAAAAAATAATTTGTTTATTACTGATAGAATCATGAAATTTCAAAGTAAAAGCATAAGGAACTTTAGTATAATTTTTTTTTTATTGGAATGTATTTTTTTCATTACAATAAGTTTTAGAAGTTGTACAAAAAAGACACTTTGTGCATCCAAAGCATGTTCCGAAATAATAATATATTATTTATATACATACGTATCGTATGTATAAGTCTTTATTTAGTATAATTTTAGTTGATATATACATACATACATCATCAGAAGTAATGTAAATCGGAGAATCACATAAAAAGAAAATCATACAGGATCCAAAAATCCATTTTTACCTTTAATGACAAGATCATAGTTTTACTAAAATTGAGGGTAAACAAACTGATTACTCTGCGAATTGTAGAATATTTTAACAATGATCTAACATGATTGATGAAATCGAACATAAAACAATTTTACCAGAATTTCATCTGAATTTACTTCGTCTGAAGAATTTGAGATTTTATATTTCATCTTTTGCGGGTTTAAGTTCTTATGAAGCTGTATAATGGCTGGACGTATGTTGTAAAATTCATCACTAGTTCATAATAAAATTTTTTATAAACTTTCTTATACTGTCGAGATTATTAATAACTTTCTTACGTTTGATATTTTATTATGGACTGGTTTGGCTTAATATTAATTTTTTTATACTGAAGACTTCTTATATCAAGAGTTACATGTATACATATATGACTATAAATGTATCATTTATTAGATTAGTCCAGAAATAATGACACTAAACTCAAAAATTGCAATTCCTGGTATTCCTTGGTAACACCCTATAGACATATTATATTTTGATAAACTGTTTTACTGGCATATTTTTATATTAACTACCATCGTTAAAATTTTACTTTATAACTAGTTATAATATAAGTCGTAATATTTTTACTGCATCCAGATATTATTAATATTAATGATAGTAGTCAAATCATTTAAATTAGTAACTAAAGTTGACTAGTTCTATTATGTCTGATCGGATTAAGAGAGCCAATTATATATGAAAATATAATAAAAATTTTTAATAGTATAAGACAATATTAAAAAAGATTCTGATATATCTACCTTTTAATTGGTCTTTTGTGATTAGCGTAAGCATCTACAGTACATATGATATCGATCGTTGATCAGAGTTCCAACAATCCACCAAACATTGCTTTATACCGAATAATTGTATAAAGATCAGGATTCTGCACAAACCATTATAAACTACGACTTCAAAGGAATAATCTATTTCCAGTTAAATTTCTACTGAATTAATAGATGTCAACTGCCGTTTATAATTATCACCATTTTCGGATAATCCAAGATCAAATTGATTAAAAGATTATATTGTAATAAGTATGTATCTCTTATATAAAGAAAACTTGGGATTATATTGTAAAAATATTTCAAAATCCATTATATTGTAAATTCTTCTATATTAATTTTAGAAAAGCCTAATAAATAAATTCGAGGTTTCATTAATAATAGAAGCGACCAAATTAAAAAATAAAATTTACGTGAAAACTATCATCTGAGTATTATATATTGCATATAATGAAGCTATTCTTAAATATTTAACTATTTGTGAAACGGATGCTTATAAAACTTTTCAAGAATCTGGAATATTTCATATTTCTCTACTGAAAGAATGAACGCACACAATCATAAGTAGATTCCTTTATACTGTATGAAGTATCTCCGAAGCAGTAAAATCTACTCATCTGAACATATACAGACTATCGTTAAAAAGTAATTTATGCTTTTTTTTTTACAAGACTTAAAATAAAAGTTTTGCTTGCGCCATTTTTTCAACGAGAAAATAAAGCTCCCTTTGCAACTTTTAATACCTTTGAATGCTTTATTCCATCCAATAGAATTATATTCACTAAAAATCAATGCTTCTAACTTTTTTTTTACTATATTACATTAATTCCAAAATGAATCACGAGTAAATTAAATCCATCTCTACTTCCATAAAGAAGAATTTTGAATTCAATGGATTATTAGTTATAGAATACGTTCCAGCTTTTCTTATCAATCTATAATGCAATTTCTACTGCATTTTCTTCATTAATTATATTTAAAAAATGGTTCTGTTTCTATTGGAAATTTTGGTGTTAATTACACGAGGCGGAAGAATTACTGAAGATGTTTGTCTATTTGGTGTCATATATCTTTTAATTAAATCCTTTTTCAAGAATTTGTTGATATAGTTGAATATGGTCATAAATATCATTACAAAACATTCGAAAATAACGGATAAGAGGTTATATGTATAAAATAATTATATAAAGGAGTTTCCCTCCCGTAATAAAGATAACTCAGTAGAGTCGACTCAATTAGTGTCTATTCTCTGATTTTAAAGTTTCGCTCTAATCCCCTCGATATGTGAATTATCCAGAATTAGAGCCTCGTGACGTAATCTAGAGTTCTTTTTGATCCTAATAACTCGGACTAAGTCTTCCACGCCTCTTTCATAGCCTTCCACTATTGGGGTTTAGGTTAGAAAGTAGTTTAATATATCGTTTTAGATTAGTCTTAATGCCGATTGATATCCGTGTTACCCATATTTTGAGATTCCGGATTAGTTAAATTAATGGGTTTATCCAAGTCTTGTAAGTGAAATAAATAGTTTGATGTAACATTAATAGTATACTTGCTCAAAAAACTTAGCTAGTCTCTATCTCATCTTGATGTGCCGATTTCCAAAAACTGCCGTATAATCCTGAAAATATTAGTATATTGTAAACTTGTGATCGTAATAAGTATTCAAGTTCGTGAAAGGAATCTCTGGTTATATACCAAATAAATCACGTAGGATAATAAAAATAAAAGCGTATAATATACACATATATATAACTGATAATAAATAATTGAGTATTTATAATAATATGTATGTACTTTAATAATATTTGAGTATCGCCAAGAGAAAACATGCTTTGGGATTCAAATTTATAACTTATTAGACTTATTCTAAATTTTTTAGAAAATATGTCCGGTAAGTTATCTAAGTGTAGTTTGCTCTTATTGTTCGAATCTGTATTTGGTACTGTAATAAGTAAAGCAAGATTTTATTTTAAGTATTTTGAAATTAAAAAATATATATTAGCCGCCTGGTTCATAATAATTAAGTTTACAAGTAAACTTTGACCTTAACTCCCACCAATATAAATATATGACTATTTGGTAATAATGTAATGGTTTAACTCAAGGAATATAATTAAATTTGTGTTGGTCGAGCCATAATGAATTTAATAGCGACAGATCAGAATATTTGTTTTATTAAAAAAAAAATAAAGCCTAATATTATCTAATATGTTAATTGGCTAAAGCAAATTATAGCTATATACTTATTTACATCTTTAATTCTTTTTTCATTTTCTTTACCCCTCGCTTCCTATTTTCTCATCCTCCAATTCGTTGTTCCTCTCTATATAATTTCTTATTTCGAATAAAAAACTTTGAATCGTTAACTCGGAAAGTTTATTAGGACACGTTAAAGCATTTATTGCCCGTTCCATCAAGCCTGTGTTTTTTAACTGGAAAGGTGTCTACTATTAGATTGATCGATTTGATAATTTTCTTTGTTCTATTAAATTTATAATTACTAATAACGTTTCATTCCTAATAGTTCATTAATTAGTATTAGTTATTTAATTTAATATTGCTGCAAATTTCAGTAACTATTATGTTTATTCTTCAATACTATACTCACGCTCTTAATTTATTAGATTTTTAATTTCTGATTTTTTGTCATACTGGGCAAATTGTATATTTTCGATATTCTCTCGAAAAATTGCGAATTTTTAATCGCCGTTTTACTTAGTCGACCAGTTCTTTCGTTTTGCTATTTTAATATGTGTCTCTCATATTTTAGTTGTTTCATCAAAGTCATGTAAGATTTATTAGTACTTACTTTAACACAGTAAAAGTTGTCACAGCTAATTGGATTCTATTTTGTGGATAGTTTTTTCCAGTATCTTAGAATTATCGGGTGCACTATTGGTTTCTTGAATTTCATCAATTAAATCAATTATTTCAGGATTGTTGTTTCATTTTTTTTTGTAGAAAAAATCTGATTGGGATTGCCGCTTAGCTATTAATTTAAATAAATATAAACAATATATTAAATAAATATTAAAATAAACAATATTTAATCTTTAAAAATACTAACTATTTCGCTTAATAGCCAATAATTACTCGAAACTCTATATCTTGGCTATTTAAAATCAACATTATACTGCATTTGTCTCGTTTTTTTAACTTTTTAAAATTACGCTTGTCTAATTTCTAATCTTTATAATAAAATAAATAATTTAAGTTTTATAATAAAATAATAAATATAATAATTTAACATATACAAAACCTTAATATCGCTATCATTAGTTTAAGATGTGTTCCTTTGTAATTACTTATAATATATGTTATTTGTATGAAATCCGTAGGGATTTCTGAAATATTAAAATTAAGAAATGCAATATCATCTGATAATAAATACCAAATACTCTTCTCAATTAAGAGAGTTATCAATTAATTTAAAGTTTCACCTAAGCCAGTAAGTAGTGTTCTATCAAAATCTTCTATTATACAATTCCAATTCTTCTTTATAAATATGATTAAATTTGGCTGGGTTTTTGTTATATCGAATAGAGCTTCAAACATTCGCTAATATGCTATAATAGTTATTGATTTGTACAATCGATTACAGAATTGTAATCGATCTTTGGATCTTTAAAAATTCATACAAATATTAAACCTAATATTATAATAATATTATTTCTTTCTCTTTCCACTCGATCAATTCGATTATTTCGGTTTTTGTAAAATTGTATTCGTCACTAATGGATACGATAAAATTAGTGCCTCTTTGGCTAATTTAGACCTCATGCTTTCTAACAGTCAGGACAAATACTCTAAACATGCAAAAACCAGAAAGTTAGTACCATCTCTCATCGTATTTACCAAATTTTTACTCATAAGTTGACTAATAGTTTTAATCCGGATATAGAAACTAAATTTGCCTGTACCTTGTGCTGATTTTATAGTTCACTAAAAGTCTTGAATAGCAAAAGCTAGTGAGTTTATGGTCACTACTTATTTCCTACTACATTTTAATAAAAAAAAAAGTATTTCACTTGCCTTCTTATATTGCTTATCAAAAATTTGACAATTGAATTCAATTATTGCACTTTCATGGTCACCATATGGCAACTCAATAAATTGTTCTGTACTTTTATTCTCTTATTAGAGTCGCCAATATATCCAAGTATATATTTAATAATATGTTGATCTTCCTTCTAAATGAATTTTCTCTCTCTTTTAAAAAATCACTAACTTCCTAGTCTGCAAATTTTTTGTTTAAAGTATTTATGAATTTTAACAATTTTCAGATCAATTACTTTGATGCCGTAAGTAATAAAATCCCCAAAAGGAAGATAGCTAATCAATAGAATGTAAATCTTGCTTATTCGAAAAGCACTGATTCGACTGGCTGATCCAAGAGCCAGATATAATTTAATTAAGTAGATTGTTATGTTTATCAGATATGCAGTACATAAATGGGAGTACGTACGTACGTAAAACGCGATTAAATTGACAAATTAGAAAACAACATCGATGAATCAAATACAAACTTAGTAGTAATCGAAAGTAAAGTTCTGCGAAAGGTGATAGATGTCTTATCACATTTTTAAAACGTATATATATTAATAATTTTCAATTTAGGTACAACGAGATTCGTATTATTCATTAATTGAAGAGGCTGAAAAAACCATGCACATCATTTATGCA